GTATTGATTGCTATTCATTAGTATCAAGGTTACCGTGCAATGGATAAAATATCAATGGGACAAGATGGGGAGAAGATACTTCATATTATTCCCACAAAGAAAACCTTTTTTTTAACGTACTTTCAGAGGAATAAAATAAAATAAAATTATAACATTTATTAAATAAAATATTGGATTAGAGCGTAACACGAGCCGCATCTACCTGGTAACATAAGAAAGAAAGGTTATTTTTCAGCAGCATTTTTATAAATGCACGTCATTGAAAATCCTTTGGCGTTAAGTTACACTTACTTTGCTCTTGTGTGAGGAAATTTTGCGAATTTTCTTAATTAATTTTTGTTTCGGGTGCTTCTTTTTTGTGGTCAGATTATTGATCTAGTCTTATATTTATGTAGTGACGCTTACGGAGGATATTTACATCGATTTTCTTGTGTTATATAAGTAGTATTGGGAGGGACTAATAACTAAATTAAATTAACACGAGTTCTTATTGTTAGGGTCGAATTTGCACCTGAGTTAAACAAGCTGCAGCTTAGGGCCCAGCGTTATAACTCTATAGATTTGGCCCTCTACGGCTTAGGGCCTCGTAATTTTACACGTATCGTAATTGAGAAACGTAACTGAGGAATTTCGTGCGTATAAGAGGCTACGAGGAAGGGCCTCTTTTACGTTATAGCTTCACAATAAGTCGAAATCCAGCTGTACTTATCGTCCTTCGAAGAGTTGTAATACAACTTTGTAACTCTTTCTAATTAACATAAATAAATAAATTATACAATATTATTTTTCGAATTAAATCAATTGACTCGTATAGCAAGTAGTTTTATTTAATTTATGGGAATTATCAAAGATTAGGTTTCAAATTATATATTTTTAATCGATATTATATACAGGACTGTACAGTACGTGATAATAATAATGTGAAATGTGTTGTAATTAGAAGAGATAGGATTTAAACTTGTGATTGTAAGTATAAGAGACATTCCCTTCTCCAAGTGAGATTCTAAACTAAGAAAATTGGTTGTCCTTTAATGAATAACCCATTTTCTTAACTTTTACAGCTGTATAAATTCTTTAGCTACCTTATACCATTATGTACCATTCAATAACTACCTTATTCGGCTAATAAGGAAAATATAAAGTAATCGTCCTTATCCTTGAGTTGTAAAAGACATTACAGTAAGGTCAAAGAGTAAAGCTTACTCCAAATGAGATTAAAATCTGAGTCCTCTCTATGGAACCGCGTGTCAGTTTTCCGCTACAATAAGTGTTAAAGGTGTTAACGTTTATTGTGTTTGAAATTAAAATTTCACACAATATTCTTTACGTTAGAAAGATTATATTACATATTTTTATAATATAAATATATACGTTTGTTTTTGGTACGGTATAGAGGCTTTGTGTGATTTTCAAAGTGGGCCCTACCGCCTCTCGAGAGAGGTCGAAGACTCAAGGAAGAGATGGAAGGCAAGTGGAGATAAAGGTATTTGAAGACAAGGGGGCCCTATACACAATAAACTTGCCATAAATGAAACGTTAAGCTTTAAACATACTCCCGAAAGTATTTAAATTATTTTTAGGATTAGGTTTGATGGTCGAAGAAATGTAACACGTGGGCGATCTGACAAACAGGGTGCCTCCCGGGAGGGGTTTCTACGGGAAAATAGGTCCTATTTAAAGAAAACGTAAAGAAAACTGGCCCTTATTTAGATGGCAGACATCTTGATCTAGAGACTCGTAATCGTAAAAAAGATTGCAAAGATTTTATAAGGCAAACATTCATATTTATATCATAAAAAATTTATATTGCTCTTATATATTTTTCAACTTCTCTTCCATATTATGAGGCTTTCCCCATTCATATCATACAATGAACTCTAACGAACTCTTCTTTACTCTCCTCTCAAATTACAGATGAAAATTCTATATAGATTTTTCAATTTATAATGATTATTTAGCTTCATTAAATATTCAGAATTTCTCATGATTGATAAGACATTAAGTAACGGGTGCCATTTGCAAAGTTAATAGAATCCATCGTCATCGAGCATTTCTGAATCTTGTTCGGCCGTACAATAATAATATTTTCTGAAAATAATGAATTTATAAAAAGTATTGTAAATTTTCTGGCTTAAAGATTGATAGAAAATTGATTTATGATTAATATTTATATCTACTTTACGTATAATTCTTTCATACAGTGGAAGGGTAATGAATAGGCTCGTCTAATTGGATGAATTAGATTAAATACGAGTGTGGTGACCTTCAAAAAATCTTCTTATAACTAAGAACAAAGTAGATTATAATTAAATTATTTAGACAAGATAATTAACCTTAAATATCGTTAAGTATTAAATCAATTATANTCATCCCAGCATTCAAATTAAGTACATTTGCATGTTCCGCGATATAAAAATGTTCTACAATTTTTCCTTCTAAATTATTTTCTATTTTATACAATATGTTTGTATTTTTTCTATTTATATTACAATTAAATTCTCTACGATGTAAAAACCATGCTGTTCCCAGCATGCATCTACAATCATCCCAGCATTCAAATTAAGTACATTTGCATGTTCCGCGATATAAAAATGTTCTACTCTTTTTCCTTCTAAATTATTTTACTCTCACTTCTTTCTTTCTCCAATCTTCCGTGTATCATGCCCTTATAATATATTCTTCTATGCCTTATTATAAATAAGGAATATATTGTAAAAGGTATTGAAGAATGTAAAGGGATAAGAAGAATATATTGTAAGGCATCGGCATGTAATTGATCGGCGCTCTTGTTGGAGTGCCGATCAGGAGTTGATTCGTAGTTTGAAGCTTCTTGCATAATGTTTTATGCCCCTTTTTATAGTCTTTGTTGTAAGGAATATGATGCTCGATCTACTACTTAATCTGTATTTCCATAGGCGTTAAAACTGATCCAGACTTAAAAACTCATCTATAAACTCTATCAAATCTGAGCTTTGTAAGGGGTCCCTTTAAGAAATTTTCATATACACAGTGAAGCGTCAAAAATCCGGATTAATTGAGGCCGGATTTTCAAGTAAACACGTGTAAATTAGCGTTGTAAGTACTGTAAATAAAGTTTAGGTGTTCTAAAGATCAAGCCGGTATTTCACAAGAATGTAAGAATAAGTAGAAAAATTCAAAATATAATATACAGAATCGCTATATTTAAACAAAATAATACAATATTTATCAATGCAATCTGTTGATCTTTATCTATTGCAGCTCATTTAAGTCAAGCTCATCTATTGAATCTCTTTATTGCTCTACCTATCGATCTTTTTCTACTTGTAGCTCATCGATCGATCATCGATTACTTTGAACTCGTTCAACTGAAACTATGCTATAAATTTCACCACTGAAACATTGAGCTTCAATAGAAGACAGTCTGTAGATGATCGCCAGTTGATCCCGAAGATTCAGACTAAATACAACACTGTTGATAATTCCGTTTTATATGAATTCCATGTTGTACGAGTCACTTAGATTTTACAAATACGCGAGCCATTCACAGCCCGGCTCACGTATTTGTAAGATCTAAGTGACTCGTACAACATGGTATTCATATAAAACGGAAAAATCAACAGTGTTATAAGGGACTGTACATTGATATTCAAAATATTTATTGTTTATTTATTGGTGGGTTACAGCTTATTATAAACTCATTTATAACTTAGTCATTCTGAAATGTTTATGGATGATGTATGCACTTTTATGGTCATTGGCATAGGCTAAAGCGAGAAGTTTTGCTATTGTTTTGTGTCTTTCGTAGTTCAAAACTACTTTAAAGTGCTACAAAGCATCTTAAAAAGCTTATTTTTCTACAGAATTCAAGAAAACTGTTATGAAATATATATATTTTAAAATTAGATTTTGAAGGCCCACAAAATTAGGCTTAGTTGCTCTATATAAACATCCATTTGTCTCTCGAAATTGTATCTCATCTGAGGCTTTAAATCTATTACAACTGCTGTAAAGTTGCTTATAAAACCGAATTTTCTATACAATTTAGTAATAAAGTGTTTTAATATGCATTTTTTAAAATTATTGCGATGCGCGGCTAAGTTTAACTAGGCCTAACTGTTTAATGTTTAAGTATGCGGAAGACATTTTGAGTCAAAAAATTGTATTGTTTTTTCCTTTTTAAATCTCGTTTAAGACTTAAAAATTAATTAGAAACAGTTTAAATGAGAATATTAACCACAAATTTATTTTTTTGATGATACGTACACGCTTAATTTCCCATAAACTTTGAGAACAGTGCGCCATTTTTATAAGTTCTGTTAGTAAATAAATAATAAAAAAATGGCTAATTTATAAGGAAAAATATGTGGATTATGGTTAAAAAAGTTCGGAAATTATTTTTTCTTTGTATAATTATCGAATTTATGGAAAAAAATAGGTCTAATGTGAATTACATGTCTAGAGGAAGTTTGGTCAGATCGATAAAAGAATTCTGCCAAGAATAAATGCGCTTTTGCAGGTTGTTTATGGAGAAAAGTTTTCCATTTTTTAATCGAAATTAGTCATAAATGATATAAGAGCATTAAAATAAATTAAAAAACAAAATTCAGCGACCATTGGAAGTCACGTGACTACAGGTGACTTCCTATTTCAAGCGTAGAAGACTCGAAAATCCCTCTCAAAAAGTGAAAAAAAATATTAAAATACAGAAAATTTACGAATTTACACAATAAAATTCTTTTATTTAGTTATTAAATCAATTAAATTACGTCACTTAAAGCAGACGACGCTGCGAAATATAATACAGTAATATAAAGCCAGTCGAATATTTTACAAAATTCAAAATTAAATTTAAAAAAAAAATTCTCCACTAAGCTTAGATTTTTATTAATTTTTAAAAAATTAAAAATAAAAGAAAAAACTTTTCTCTCTCTCTTTCGTTTTTTTTTTTTTTTATTTTTTATTTTAGTTTTGTATTTAGGTTGGAGAGGTCAACGTCACGGCGGATGACGTCACCGTGCTTTTGCTCGACGTCACGTCTACCCGTCGAGCATTGGGAGCCTATGTCCGCCATAGTAGTTGTGGTGCGTCGTATGCGAAGCTCGGCAAAGAGTGTTAATTCTCCTCATGCCGAACACTCTTCACGACATTAAGGATAAATTATTGAGTGCATTAGATCCAGACTACAATGTAAGTTAAAGGAGCGAGTAATACGTAGTAAATCAATTAAAATAACCGAACCCCATTTTTGTGTGGCAGACGATTAAACAACCCAATGGTTAGGCTTAAGTGACAAATTTAAAAATCGTTGTTTTCGATTAGAATTGCCGTTTATACGTTAAATAAGACTTCGATTAAATGTTATAAACGTCGACGGGGACGTAATTTATTAAAAGGATCGTCGTATTTTAACGTATAATCGTAATATTACGGGTCGGTAGACGTCACAGAATGCCATGCTTAGTTACCAAAATCGTCTGGCTCGCAATGCCGACGCTTTATGGAATGATCTGATATTAAAATGTGTATGCTAGTGGCATAATGTGGTACGTCACACCGTCCCTTAAAACGTGCTTAGAATAAAGATTACACGAACACAAAAACAGTTAAACCGAGTTTAATATGTGTAAGACGATCGGTTTATTTTTAATTCCATGCTATTTTCTGTTTAATTTTACTAATTAAAGGGTGTCGAATTCGTTTTTACAATTCTTCCATTCGAATTTGGGTTTAAACCGTTCCGTTTTTAATTATTAATTTAAGGTGTGTATTTTGCTTCGTATTATGCACCGGTGCTCGATTTTGTTATGGTGGCTTCGGAGCCGTAGGACATATCTGATGATTTGTTCGAAAACGGATGAAATACATACATGCATGCATACATACGAGAGACGTCGGCTGTATGCGAAGTGTTTAGCCGGCAGAAAAGAGGGGAAGAAGGAGGGGGAGGTGATAGACGGTAGAGAAAGGTATGATCCCTGCGAACGGCGTAACTAAGACTACGGTACCCTCTATGTATGATGTTGGTGTGCAGTTTTTAGGTTGCAAGGCCGTAGTCCTCTGAAGGGTCTAAAAGAAAACCTGAGTGTAGTGAACACGAATACAACAGTTTTGATTGGAGTGGTGATGTGTTCTGCTTTACCTTACATAACAGGGCTTAATTTTGTTTAATGATTCATTTCTCATTATTAGAGTGTGGGTTGATTTATAAAGGTAGAATTACAGATGTACTTATTAATACTTTATTGGTATGAAAATTCCACTAATTTCATCAAATTTTGCTTGAAGTGATAGATACTGCTTTAGCTTATACAATATTTTGTTATGGGATGCATTTATTTCATTTGTTATACTTTGCTAGATGATATGTACTGATAATTTATGGTAGTGATGTAATTGAAATTGGGCTTCTTTTTTTTTTTTATTGAATTGCAGGTTGATATTCAGTTTATACATCTTACACTGCATTCTTTATCTTGTAATGGATCCATTTACTGAATTTGAAGAATTCTTGTAAATAAAATTATTTTGTAACTTTTGTACTCGAATAATTGGAATTCCTAAATTAAAAATAATTTGATAGTATTATTGATATTGAAATAGTAGTTAAATTTTAAAATTTGTATTAATTAAAATTATGATGAAAGACTTAATTTTAATTTTATAAATATATAGTAATTTATTTTTTATTTAGAAAATGTATACATATTAATATTGTATATAAATTCCATTTATTGAGTGTTATTAATGTGTTCATAAGTGTTAAATTTCTATTTCATTTTTCACCTTTGATTTCTTGTTGAATGAATAATTGCCAAAAATTGTGCTTTCGTCCATTTTCTGCTAGTTATATATATTTTATTTCATCAGGCCATTTCCTTTTAGGTCATTTTTTGCTTCCTTTTATCTTTTGATGATCTTGTTGTCTCTTCTCTTTTGTATTGTATATCCTATTTAGCTATATTTTATATTTATATATGTATTATGTGGCCTTGTATTTTAAAACGGTAATTTATTTTTATCTTCAATACAGATTCATAATATTTTCGGATAAAGTGATACTTTACATTAATAATTTTATTATATTAAACTCTGTGATTGGTTTGCATGAGAGCAAAGTTTTATTTTTTAATTTTGACTATTACAAGAATATAACTTTATTTTTTTTTATAGTTACTCTATTAATTGGGTAGGTATTTTGGTGAATTTCTGCCTAATTCCTTCATGATCAATTTATATATATATATATAAAGATATTGTTACCTCAGCTGAAGTTGACAGTAATGAAACAAATATTTTATTCTTTTTCATTGATCCAAAATTATAGATTTATTGTGTTTGAAAGGCTTATTCTTATAACAGAGATTTTTCAATTAAATTTCTCTGTTAAAACCACTTATTGATTTTCTGACTGTTATAAAAATTAACATCCTTTACACCTTACATTGCTATGGTCATTGTCAATTTTTTTTTGCATATAACTTTGTTTCATATATATCCTTATGTATTAAATTTTAAGAATTGAATTTCAGATTGATTACACCTCCATATTTTATAAGTTTGATGACGTGAAAAGCTGACTTATTTCAGTTCTCACTTATAACTTTTGATAGGGATAAATAGAACAAGGAAAAAGTTACTTTGATATATGCTGCATGCTACGTTCAGAAATTCCAAAGTAGTTCTTTCCAATAATGTTAAATAAATGCTTTTGTTAAAATTAACTGAATTTTAACAAAAGGAAAATTTGCTCCTGGAAAATTTTCTGTAGACATCTATGAATGGGACGTGCTGAGGATTAGTTAAATTAATATAGTGTTTGACTCTATAAAAAGAGAGTTAATTATGGATGTTTTCAGTTTGAATTTTATTCTAGGACCTGTTGCTTTTGATTCATATCCTTAGCTATTTATTATAAGTCTGCTCCTTCAATGTTTAGTTGCTAGTACTAATGCTTAATTTGTAATCTGTTGTAGTTTCATTGTTGTCTTTCATAATTATGTAAAATGAGTTTGAAGCTTCCTGTTGTGTTACCCAAACATAAATTTCTGCAGTTTTTGTTAAAAATTCATTTCAGTGTCTTCATAAAATTAGTAAGCATTTAAACTATTAAATTAAAATATAATAATGAATCTCTAAGCTGCAGAGTTCATGTGTTTCTGAATTTATGCACTTACGAGATTACACTTACTAGTTGCATTACAAGCTGCTTTGTTTTTCAATTATTACATTCTGTTTTAAGAACAATCATTTGTGCCACACACTTTATCATAAGTTCCTTACAATTTTGATACAATTTGTATAAGGAAGTCTAACATTGAGAAATTCTAAAATATTCAGTAGAAATTTAAACTGTATATATTGTTTTTTTAAATAAACTGCAAGTGTTGATGTTCAGACACTCCAGAAACCTTTGTAAGCAGCAAAAACCAATTTATTTATGAATTTTCTTAAAAATGACCAAAAATGTATGTAACTAAATTGTTTTTGCTGCTTACAAAAATTTCTTGAGTGTTTAAATAATAAATAAACTGAAATACTGTTTTTAAAATATTCCTGTGAAGAATTGCTGTATTGCAAAATTAGATATTTCCTTAGTAATGAAGAAATGATAATTAAAATATCACCAATGAATTTTCTGTTAGCTGTATTAAGAATGAAAAATTTTTGAATAATTTCATACTGGATCAGCATTAAAAATTGGCATACTATAGTAGCAATTTGAAACATTTTTGGTAACGAATCTCAAATAAATTATTAATTTTACATATATATCAACCTTGCAAAGAGAGTGGTGTTAACCTTGAATTTTCTGAATGATTGTAAAATTTATTCATTTTGAACAGTATAGTTTAGAGCAGTGATGAGCAACCTTTTCTGGATGTAGACCACAGGTGAACATAGGCTTCTGATAGGCCATATGCAATATTTTTTAGTTTCAGTCTTTGAATCTGCTGAGTATGAACTTACTGTATAATTGTCAGTACACTATGTAGTGAAATAATACATTCTGATGGTATGCAAATTAATATGTAGTTTATTCTCATCTTTTTACTGGTCAAGTTTATGTTCTTCATTGTGAATATCAGCTGGAGTAATAGGGTTGCATAATGGCATAAGGCAGAAAAAAGACGAGAAAAAATTGCATGCCAAAACCATTCAGGAGTGTATATTAGGACCTTATTCGCTGCTTGTGGCCTAGAGGCAATGGTTGCTCGTGACTGGTTTACAGTTATATTGGAATCTATATTGCCATAGAAAGTTGATGTAATTTGTTCATTTCTGTACTGTAAATATTTGTCAAATGGTACTTTTCTATATTAATTTAATAACTGCCATTCATTTACACATTTACAGTCATTGTGCATGGCACAATATGAATATTACAAATGTGAAATAGATATTGTGTTTGCCATATTTTCAGATGGAAAATCTGAATGTTTTATTTATTTTAAAGCAGAAAATAAGCTAAGATTTTGAGTTTAATACATGATACAGAAATAAACTCCTTTTATTATAACTTTTATTATGTTAATAGTAATTTATTTATAGATCATGTTCAAAATAAGAATCTCTTTTAGCTGCACACTTCTACCAATGTTCATACCACTTACTAATTATCTTGTAGCCCATTCTGTGTTATTTCCAAGTATGATGCAGTACTTTTTGGCACTTTTCAAAGAAATTTCTGATACCCGTGTTTGTTTGCAACATAGATTCATTAACAAGGAGCCTTACCTGCATAGACATTCTTGGTTGTCTTTTCGATACAATAAGACAAAAATAGTTTTATCTCTTGGGAATAAAAAACTGGGTTTTTAATCACGACAATAACTTGGTATATTGCACTCTCCTAATTAGTGAATGGCAAAACACAGGATACATGTACCTCTATAACTTCCATTATTCACCAGACTTTCTTGTCTTCACAAAATGAAAGTTCTACTGAAGGGTTGCTAATTTAAATTAGCTGGAGAAGAGATAAATACTGTGATGATTTGGCAGTTGCACTTGAGGTAACAGAACGGGCCATAAGACTGTTTAGTAAGGTACAAACATTGGCAGGTATTGCTGCAGAAGGTGATTATTTTAAAGATGCTCTTCTGTAAATACTTGTAGTATTAATAAGTTATATTAAGTTCAGTTTATTTTTAATCCTGCCATACAGTAAAACTTTGTTTTGTTTCTCT